AAATCTGCAATTCACAATCCTCGCACCGGGGTCCGCGCAGACCCCAAAGCAACCCTCGCAAGTAGCGACTGTCTCGCAGCTCGCAGCCTTGCAGGGATGCTGAGGTCTACTACGAATCCGCGTATGACGTGACTACGCTGGACCCCCCAGCTGCGCTCGAATGTGGCGACGGCTTCGCAGTTAGCAGCCCCCGCCACAGGGATGTCATGCTGGACCCCTCAGCTGCAGCCGAAACTGGCGACAGTTTCGGTGTTCGCAGCCACCCCCCCGGGGTGCTGAAGTCTAACATGAGCCCGCGTAGGACGTCGAAATGCTGGACCACCCAGCAGCACTTGAAAGTAGCGACAGCTTCGTAGTTCACAGCTTCCTAGGGATGCGGAGGTGAAATTTGAGCTCGCGTAGGGCGTCGCTGTGCTGGACCCCCAGCCGCCCTTCGACGGTAGCGGCCGACTCTCAGTTCGCAGCCCTGCCCCCCGCCCCCCAGGAATGGTGAGGTCGGATCCGAGTCCGCGCAGGACGCAACCATGCGGGACCCCCCATGCAACCTTTGAGCCTGGCGAGAACCAGGAGGCAGGCGGCACGAGGGAAGAGCGGAGGAAGGACGGGGGGACGCGGGAGGAATACTGACTGGAGACCAGAGTGCGATACTCAAAACGAAAGCCCAACGCAAGAGGGTTGGGGGAAACCATGGGCCCGCGCTCCCGAACCAGGACGATGTGCAAATTGCCCTGCGACATACCCAACACCCACCTGCGTTGCGTGACAGGGGGGGGGGCTGGTCCAGAGAAGCATGGCCGATGGCAACGTGAGGTGTGCCGACGCTCGCGCATGTTGTATGGGGGAGGACTGCGGCCCTAGGCTCGGAGATGGGAAGGAGAAGCACGAAAAGGACGGATAAGGGGCCGACACGTTGACGCGACAGCAGCAGTACCCATCGGTCGGAAGAAGCTGGTTGAACCATGAAGTAGGAGGGCGTTGGAAGTAGATTGGGTGTCTGCCCGCCTCCTGTAGAGGAGGGAAGAAGGACAACCACTCGACTCTTGAAACGGGAAGGCGGCTAAAGTAGATTGGGCACTGGGAATCCCAAACTACCTACTTTCAACGACCTATGGGTATCTGGCCATCGCTCGGACGTCCATTCCCTGTGCTTTTTTCGGTTCGTGCATGGTTTTTTTGCCGAATGATCAAGGATGCTCCTCGATGGTCCTCGCCGAAGGAAAAATGCACACGTCCGAGCGATGCCAAGGTGTGGCACGCCGGGCAAGCAGTGCGGCCCGCGCCGTGCCGGTCGGGCGCTCCAGCGGGGCCAGCCGTCATGGCCAAGGCAAGAAGCGAGCGGGGCCGGGTTCCCGTCCTGCACCCTGCCGCGCGGGGGCCAAACGCCCGCAGGCGCGCCGCCAAGGGCTCGGGCGGCGCGCGGGAAGAGATAGGAAACTATACCAAGGCTAGTGTGAGTACGCGTAGGGCGCCATCCCGCCAGGCCCCCCTGCAACTCTCGAGCGCGGCGAGGGTGTCGCAGATCGCAGCCCCCGGGAACTGCGAGGTCGAATCTGAGGCCGCGAACGACGCGACCCCGCTGGATCACCCAGCCGCCCTCGAAAATGCCGATGGTTTCGCCGTTCGCTGCCCCACGAAGACGGCGAGGTCTACTCTGGATCCGCCGTGGGGAGTCACTCCGCTGGACCCCCCAGCAGCCCTCGAAAGTGGCAGCAATCTCGCAGAAAGCAGGCCCCCCTGCGATGGTGGAGTCTCAACGGATTTGGCTTAGGACTCCACGATTTCTGGACCCCCCCCCCCAGCAGCCCACGAAAGTGGCGACAGTTTCGCAGTTCGCGCCCCCTCCCACCAGGGATGGTGAGATCGAGTCTGAATCTGCGTACGACGTCACTACGCTGGACCTCCCAGCATCCCACGAAAGTGGCGACGGTTTCGCAGTTCGCTGCCACCACCCAGGGATGGCGAGGTCTAATCATGATCCGCCGTGGGGCGTCGCTCCGCTAGACCCGTCAGCAGCCCTCGAAAGTGGTGGCTGTTTCGCACATCGCAGCCCCCCAGCGATGGTGAGTCTAAAGTGAGTCCGCGCAGGACGGTACAATGCTGGACCCCCCAGCCGCCCTCGAAAGTGGCGACAGTTTCGCAGTTCGCACGTCCCAGCGATGGCGAGGTCGAACCTGCATCTGCGTAGGGCGTCCTTCCGCCGGAACCCCCAGCAGCCCTCGAAAGTGGCGACAGTTTCGCCATTCGCAGCCCCACAAAGATGGCAAAGTCTAATCTGAATCTGCGTATGGCGCCACTGCGCTGACCCCCTCCGGCAACCCTCGAAAGTGGCGACAAATGCGCAGTTCGCATCCACCCCAGCGATGTCGAGGTCAAATATGAATCTGCGTAGGACGCTCCTCCGCTGGACCCCCCCCAGCAGCCCTCGAGAGTGGCAGCAGTTTCGTGGTTCGCAGCCCCCCAGCGAGCAGAACGTAGGACGGCGAGGTAAGAGGCAAGCTGGCAGGCAGGAAAGAGACAGGTAAAGAGACAGAGGACTCGCCATCGCTCGGACGTCCATTCCCCGTGTTTTTTGTCGGTTTCGTGTGTGGCTGTTTCGCCAAATAGTCAAGGATGCTCCTCGAAGGTCCTCGCCGAAGGAAAAATGCACACGTCCGAGCGATGCCAAGGACAGGTAAAGAGACAGAGAAGGGAGGAAGGAGGGTCGCGACCGCAGGGGCTCTATGCAAAGCGCGATCCCATCGCAGGACGGCTGGGGAAAACGGTGGGTCCAAGGTCTCGCCATCGCTCGGACGTCCATTCCCTGTGTTTTTGTTCGGTTTCATGCGTGGTTTTTTCGCCAAATGATCAAGGATGCTCCTCGATGGTCCTCGCCGAAGGAAACATGCACACGTCCGAGCGATGCCAGGTCTATGCAAAGCGCGATCCCATCGCAGGATGGTTGGGGAAAACGGTGGGTCCAAGCTCCCAGGTCCACCAGCCCAGGCAAAAACAGAAACAGGATTCGCTCCTCGAGCTCGCCAGCCGACCAGCCAGCCAGCAACCCAGCCCCCCGACGTCACGACTTCTTCACGACGTCGACCCCCCCGAGGTCTCGACCCCTTCCCCGGGACACGCGCTGCACCCCCAGTCGTTTCTGCTGACGGCCCCGAGGCCCGGCGAAGGCCCCCAGGGGCCGAAAATGGCAAACAACCTGCTGTCGTGATCGTTTCCTTTTCCTGACGCGAGGGGGTCGGGGAATCATGCGATCCAGCCGATCAGCCAACCAGCCAAGTGACCTGCCAACCGTCCGTCCAGGCAGCCAGCCAGCTGGGTTTCCAGTCTGCCAACCCACCAGCCGATCGACCAGGAAGCCCAATCGACCCAGCCACGCGGGCAATCAGAGGGGGGGTCAGCCGAAGAGGGCGAGGCCCTGCAAATAACAAGACTCGCCCACCACAATCGTGGTCTGAGGCGCTTGACTTGTTGTCCTTATGCAGAAATGGGTACTCCCAAGCGTCCTGCCCTCCTCCCCCCTTCCTCCTCCTCCTCCTCCTCCTCCTCCTCCTCCTCCTCCTCCTCCTCCTCCTCCTCCTCCTCCTCCTCCTCCTCCTCCTCCTCCCCTCCCCTCCTCCTCCTCCTCCCCTCCTCCTGCTCCTCCCCCCCCTCCTCCTCCTCCTCCTCCTCCTCCTCCCCTCCTCCTCCTCCTCCTCCTCCTCCTCCTCCTCCTCCTCCTCCTCCTCCTCCTCCCTGCCCACCACAGTTGTGGTCTGAGACGCCGGACTCAGCTTCCTAATACACAACTGGGTACTCCCAAGAGTCCTGCCAGCAAAATCTCCAAACGCAGTCGCTGAAGTGCAACAGCTTCCGAAGCGACGCGCACAAGACCGCACCAGAGCCCGCACAGCTCTCCCGGCGTGCTCGGCGAGCCGACACGGCAGCGGCACGAGACATCAATGTGCGTGCTGCGCTTGCCGAAGACTATACGATCACATGCGGCGAAAGCCCTGATGTCAGTGCAGTCCGCGAGACACGACTACGAATACAGAATCACCACTGTCATCATACCACTACCACCACCACCATCGCCACCAGCACCATCGACATCACCATCATCACCAGCACCATCACCACCGCCACCACCACCATCATCAGCATCATCATCATAAGTAGAATCACCATTATCATTATCGTCACCAACATGATCACAACCATAACCAGCAACATTACAGCCACCACCAGCACCATCATCACCAACATCATCACCACCACCATCATCAGCAACATGAGTTGCACCATCAGCATCAGCATCGGCATCAGCATCGGCATCAGCATCAACATCACCACCCCCTCATCATCATCACCACCATCGCCATCATCATCACAATCACCACTATCACCGTTGTCATCATCACCGCGATCATCACCATCATCATCAGCATCAGCATAATCATTATCACCATCACTATCGTCATCACCATCGCCATCACCATCGTCATCATCATCGTCAGCCTCACCATTACCACAATCATTATGATCATCACCACTATCACCGTCACCACCATCATCGTCTTCACCATCATCATCACCATCATCATCGCCATCGTCATCACCATCATCACCATCATCATAAGCACAATCATCAGCATCATTCATACAAATCAGCAGCATCATCCGCAGCACCATCGCCATCATCACAACCATCACCATTGCCACCATCATCATCACCACCACAATCATCATCATCATCATCATCATCATCATCATCATCATCATCATCATCATCATCATCATCATCATCATCATCATCATCATCATCATCATCATCATCATCATCATCATCATCACCACCTTCGTCTTCTGTCCTCCTCCTCCTCCTTCCATCGCTCCTCGCCCTCCTCGCCCCTTCCCCCCCTCCTCCTCCGCCTCCTCCTCCTCCTCCTCCTCCTCCTCCCTTCTCTCCCCCCGCCCCCCTTCCCCCTCCTCGCGCCTCCCTCCCCCTGCCTCCTGCGGGGCAGCGCGTCCTCGCCCTCGAAGAACAGCGGGCGCCCCGCCCACCCAAAGTCCCCGCGGTGCTCCTCCCGGCGGCGGCGGCGGGGGGAGGCCATGGGCCTCCAGCCCTGACTCCAGATCCTCCTCCTCATCCTCCTCCTCGTCCTCCTCCTCGTCCTCCTCCTCCTCCTCCTCCTCCTCCTCCTCCTCCTCCTCCTCCTCCTCCTCCTCCCTCCTCCTCCTCCCCCTCCTCCTCCTCCCTCCCTCCCTCCCCCCTACTTTGGCTTTTTTTCAGACTTAAAATTGCGTCGGAAATCCACCTATAGGAAGCCGAAAAAGTAGGGCGGAAATTCTGCACCCAACGTGAAGTGGGGCGGAGATCCATAGAAGTAGGGCGGAAACAGCAACAGAAGAGTAGGGCGGAAATTGGCATCGGCGGGGCTTGAAAAGTAAGGCGGAAATTCCAGGTCCTACTTACGAATTTCCCCAAAGTATAGCGAGTCCGGAGTCAGGGAGGAGACTTTCCTAAGACGAAGCCGGAGCGAGGACAGATTCGGGTGCGGATAGATCGGGTGAGGAACAAAAATCACAACGGGAAGCGTTTCGCATTCTTCGGTGTCCGGGGACCCTCACGGGTTCTCGGGACCGTCAAGGAATCACGCAGGATGAAAACCCGGTCCCGGGGAACGGGTCGAGACCTCGGGGGGTCGGCGTCATCAAAAACAACATGACGTCGGTGGTCTGGGGACGAAACCAGGACGAGGATAAAATCGGGTGAGGATAAATCGAGAATCTCTGCTCCATGCACTCTATCCAGATCAGCAGGCAGATGAGCACTGCGAGCCAGGTAATCAGCTGTGTCCCCGCTGCCATACCATGATTCGCGACTCGCTTGGAACACGGCGCGACGTGCATGATCACGCACGTGACGAGTATTAGCGCCGGGTCCACGACCACAATGCAACGAAGATGATTACTCCAGCCTCAAGCACCGCATATTACGACAGCACTGCTGCGTCGCAGCGTGGGGCGGAGGGGCGATTGGCCGTCGTCGAACCTTGAAACAAGCCTTGAAATAAGAGTGCTGCACAGACAAATTGAGACGCGCCACGGGAAGACGGCGCGAGCGAGCAGCCGCGTGCCTGGCAGATGTGGTGAACCAGACGAGTGGCTGTGGCCCTCTGCCGGCGGCGCTGCTGTGAAACAACGGGTCGTCACGCAGAAACAGCGTAAAAGTCCATGGGACCCCCTGGCGGCGCCTCGGCGGCGCGCACAAGGGGGTGGAGGGAGGGGGGAGGGCTTCTTCGAAGGAGGCTGCTTCTTACCAGGCGCCGGCCTCACATCTATAGACGAGGCCCGCGCCTTCTGAGAAGCAGGGGGTGCTTCTAGGAAGCCTTCCCCCCTCCCCTACCCCCCTCTGCGCGCGACTGAGCGCCTTTGGCGCCGCCCCTGGCAGGAGAGCCCAGAATCGAATCGACAAGTCGGATCGGCGATCGAAATGAATCGGATCGGCGGAAATCGGCAGCCGAGTCGGGAAAAGTCGAATCGGCGGAAATCGGCAGCCTAATAGGCCTTCGTTAGGAAATCTGAGCCAAAATCGGAATCCGAAATCGGATCGAATCGGAATCGGAAATCATCGAAATCGAATCGAATCGACTCGGAGGAATCGAAATGAGCCCTGCCCTGGGGCGCTCCGCGCGCCAGGGAGGGGGGGGGGGGGCCAGCGTCCCTCGTCGCCACGGCTGGGTTCGCCCCGAAGGCCATGGTCGGCGCGCGCCCCAGGGGGAGGTCTGGGGAGCAGAAGCGGCGCCGGCGTCTGCTCGCCCCCGTCGGAGGAGGAACGAGGAGGATCGAGGAGGAGGGAGGAGGAGGAGGAGGAGGAGGAGGAGGAGGAGGAGGAGCAGGAGGAGGAGGAGGAGGAGGAGGAACAGGAGGATCGAGGAGGGAGGAGGAACAGGAGGAGGAAGAGGAGGAGGAGCAGGAGGAGGAGGAGGAAGAACTGTCCTGTGTCCCTCGTCCCCCAGTCGACCGTTCGCCGTCGTCAGCACCCTCGCTCGTCGTGTCCTTCCTGGCGCACGGGGCGCGCCAGGGCCAGGCGGGGGCCGGCGACGACCCGAGACATCTGCGCGGAGCTCTGAGAGGTTACAGGCGGGCCTGGGCCAGGAGAGCGTCCCTCAAGAGCATGAGACCCCCCGTCGTCCAAAACACACAGAGCATCCAAGTCTACCATCAAACTAATATCCTACAAGCTCGAAGAGCATCAGGGCACGCTCCCCGAACCGACCTCGATCTTATACCTCGATCTTATACCTCTGAACACCCCTCGAGAGCATGAGGCATCCCATCGGGACATCGCGCCCGAGACGCCAGAGAACATCCCACTGGGCCAGAAGAGCATCCCTCAAGACATCTGCGCGGATCTCTGAAAGTTTGAGGAGAGGAGAAAGTTTACAGTCGGACATGGGCCAGGAGAACCTCCCTCAAGAGCATGAGACCCTCCGTCGGCCAAAACACACAGAACATCCAAGTGTACCCTCACCGGGATGCATAATAATATCCAACAAACGCGAAGAACACTAGTACGCTCCCCGAACCGACCTCGATCTTATACCTCGGTCCGACCGCAAGCGGAGCTCCGAAAGTTTATGATCATGCCGCTTTTGTTCTTCGTATCTAACGGGGCCCCATGCGGGAGGCCTGGGTACAGTCAAAACGTGTACTAAGGACGGGTGGCAAGGACGCAAGACCCTTGGATGCCGACGTTGGGATTTTTTGGGCGGCGGGCGACCGGTAACAACGGCAAAGGACGGGCCGCAGAGTCAAGGACACAAGGGTAACCTCGAAGGAGCGCGTCCTCACTAGGCGCGTTGACTGTACAGACCGCGGCGACGCCGACAGCGAAACCTGTTCAGAATGATCAAGAACTGCTGTCGGACTTCGTGCCCATTGTTTTCGTATCCATGTCGGTCGTCCCGAGAGACCGTCGGGGGCGTCCAAGAGGGGGGGCGGGCGCAAATCACGGCTGGCGGCGCGTGCGCGGCCCAGGGGGGGGGGGGGGGGGGCAGGGCCGTCGTAAAACCAGAGGAGGCGCCATGAGATCTGGAGAGATATCATGACCCCCGCCACGAGATCCTCGGCTGCACGCCAAGGGCGACCCTGCGCAAGAGTGACCTCTGGTGCGCGGCTCTGGCGGCCCACGGGGGGACCACACACACACACACACACAAGCGCGCGAGACGCCACTGCCGCCTCGCGCTCGGCGATCGGGGGGCCCCAGTGGGCCCGCACCAGAGGTCACTCCGGCGAAGGGCCACTCTCACGTCTAGTCGATGACCCCCCCCCCCGGCCAGCAACCCCCTCTTCAGGGGGCCCCAGAGGCGAACCGAGACGCCGGGGCGGCGAGCGGAATACGTCGCATCGGCGGAGGTCGGCGGCCAAGTCGGGGAGGAGCCGAAACGTCGGCAAGCGGCAGGCTAGCAAGGCCTCCATGGAGACGCCGGGATCCACATCGGAATCCGAAGCCGATGCGAGTCGGAACCGGGAGCCGTCGAGGTCGAGCCCCACCGCCTCGGAGGAGGCGAAAGGAACCCTGCCTCCCGCGCCTCGACCCTGGCTCCACGAACCTCGCGCCTCGGACTCCGAACCTCTCGCCTCGCACCTCGGCCCTCGCGCCACGACCCTCGACCCTCGCGCCTCGAACCTCGCGCCTCGGCCCTCGATCCTCGCGCCTCGATCCCCGCACCTCGGCCCTCGATCCTCGCACCTCGACCCTCACACCTCCACACCCCTCCGCCCTCGAGGCTCGACCCTGGGCCCAGCGCTCCTCGTAGGCGGCTCGCAGGCGGGCGCACCAGAGCGCGTGGGCGTCCCCGGCGTCCCGAACCTCGCGGGTGTCGACGGGCTCGCCGAGGGCGCAGGCCAGCGGGTGCGGGTGGGGCAGCAGCGTGCCCCACCTCTCGGCGGCAGCTCGGGGGCGCGCCTACAGTCGGGGCGTTGACCTAAGGAAGCCTAAATAAGGAACGATGTCCCTTGTTTTCCATCGGTTCAACTTCGATTTCCCATCGAAAGCACAAGGAACACCTGATGCAAGCTGTGAAACAACCAAGGAACACCGAGCCCCTCCCCAACGAAAAGGGTTCCTTCTTCAGCGCCCCGACTGTACCATACCATTTGTGATTGCTGCTTTTCTCGTGCAATTTGGGGGATGAGAAGGAGGAGATCTGACAAGACGGTCGTGACGCAGCACCACCATGCACCTCAACCACTCTGTAGCAGCATCGCAGCATGTTTATTGAAATTGTGAAGTGGCTCGGACGGAATGGCCCAAGCGGCCACCTAGGCGAAACCATCACCAGACAAGAAGACCGCGAACAACACGGTTGGGAACTCTGGCAATTTGCGGCACACAGTGACGAGCTGCGTCAAGTCTGGTATTAGGCTGCACCTCAAAGTCATCGACTCTGGCCCACAAGTGGCAGCCGCAGGAAGATGAGGAATAAGGAAGGAATGGAGGAGGGGCAGAGGCAGAAGAGGCAGGATGGCGAGGAGTGTGCTGAAACAGAGACACGCGGAAGGCAGAGGCAAGGGAGGGAACAGGAGGGGGAGAGAGGACGGGGAGGAGAAGGGGTGACGCGGGGCGCGGTCTCTTCAAAACGAGGGCCCAACACCACAGGATGGTTGCGAGGAAAACCAGCGCGCGCGCGCTGTTGTACATTCTTCTGAGAACCATCGGCTCGCCAAATGAGACCACACGAGACCACGCGGGCCCCTCGCGCGCGCATGTCGAAAGCACTTGCACGACCTTGCGCGCCTGTTGGGGGGGCACGATCCTTGTCAAATAACACCATGCGGGTCACTCGCGCGCGTCGGCCGCATGCGCATGCCGAACTCCTTCCAAAACTCTCGTCAATGATACATGGATCTTGTCATCGTCATCGGCGTGAGCAGGGCGCGGTCATTGGCCTTGCCGTCGTCATCATCATCATCATCATCATCATCAGCAGCATCATCGTCATCATCATCATCATCAGCATCATCATCATCATCATCATCATCCTCAACATCATCATCATCATCAGCAGCATCAGCATCAGCATCAGCATCAGCATCAGCATCATCGTCATCATCGTCACCACCATCGTTACTGCCATCATCGTTTTCGCCGTTGTGGGCGTCACCATGATACCGCGCCCGCCCGAGTCAAAGACCTGCGCTGCAGCGCCCGCGCGCCAGCGCGTCCTGTGAGACGCGCGGGGAAGTCCCCATCAGCCAGCGCCACCGCGGTCGCGCCGGATGTGCCAAACCGGCTGTCTGCTGTGCGCGCGCGAGCTTGCGCGCGCTGGCGCGGCCGCAGCGATGCGCCAGCCAGTGCCCGAGAGTCGTCGCAATCGCCGCCGCATGGGCTTCAGAAAGCAAGCTGCGGGTGGGAGGGCGGAGTGATTGCGCAAGCAGTGGGGCTGACAGCTCCGAGCTTTTTCGAAGCTCATTTCGCCACATGGGTGGCGCTGCATCGACTACGCACCACAGCCAGCTAGAACACACTCATTTTTCGCATTTCGCATTTCGCATCTCGACAGCGTCTGGGGTGCGCGCGCCGGCGCCCGGCCGCTGGCGCCAGCGCCCGGCCCCCAGTCGCTGCGACTCAGAACTGCCCGGCGAATGCAGATCTGGGCCCGGCAGCCGACGACGGATAGGCGGTGGTGTTACACACCCCTTCCCTCCCCTGCTGGCACAACATGAATGAGGCGAGCGCGGCGGGAGGACGCCGCCCGAAAACCGCCGCTCTCCCCGGAGAACCAGGCAGCGCCGCACGCCAGGGTTCTGGGCCGCGTCTAGGTTACACTAGCTGCGGTCAAGGGTTCGTCAGTGCATCCCCCCCTCCACACCCCGAGGCACAGCACCGCTCCCCCAAGCACAGCCTGGTAAAGCGACACAGCGGCCGGGGAGGCGACGGGCATACCCAACCACAGTCACACTCGGGAAAAGGGGCAAGTATACAAATACCCGAGAAGCAAGTGCTCAGAGGAGGCGAGAGACGAGGAGGAAGAAGAGGGGAGGGCAAAAAACACAGCGACTGGGACGCAAGAGGATAGCAATCAATATCATGACGATGCCGCCTGCGCGCCACGAGCGTGACAACGTCCGCATGCCGAGGCGCCCGAAGGCCATCACATTAAGAGGTACACGTGCGAACCCGGCCTCAAAGGGCAAAGCTGCAAGACTAACATTCAACCGGAGGAGGACGAGGAGGAGGAGGAGGAGGAGGAGGAAGAGGAGGAAGAGGAGGAAGACGAGGAAGAAGACAGCGGCGCAGAACGCCGAATGACCTTCCCGACAAAAGAAATATGCTCGATGAAGCTGCTGGGGCTGGTGTGGTCCCCGAACAGCAGCTGGAGTATCAGGTCGGGTGGGACGTCGCCTGGGAACAAGTCCCGGCGGTCGCTGGCGTAAAAGGGGCACGAGACCAGGGCGTGTCGCAGAGAAGCGTTCCGGCGCCCACAGGCTCTGCACCGTCGCAAGGAGGCGGGGTGCTCCCTGCCGCCTAACACCGACAGAGGCCACCTGCCAGTCATCCGCGCCACTGCCCATAAGCGAAAATGAATCCAGAAGGCAGGGCTGGGCTCGCTGGCCAGGAGAGTTGGATCGAGCGGCGATGGGAAAGAGCAAAGAGCGGCAAAAGAACGGCGAAAAGGTGCCAGGACCTGCACGGCCGCTTTCGCGAAAGCTTCGCGGTCATACTTCAAAAGTGTCGGACGTAGGACTTCAGTGCGGTACGTTCTGAGCACATCTCTGCGAGAATTCGGACACGTCCGTGCCTCTTGGAGCAGCGCTGGAGGGAAGAGAGCGTGACCGTCCAGGTCCGGAGGAGAGGGGCCAAGGCGCCGGGCTAAGGCAACAACAGCAGACTCCCACGTGGGCGTAGCCAAGGAATGGGCCGCCCGGCCGCCCGCAGCATCACGGCCCCTGGGTGGTCCACCGGGAGGACCATCCCACAGGGTACGAGGCGCCTATTATAGCAACCGGCCTTTCGCGGCAGCTATTTTATCGCTATCGTGGATCATCGGGCCGCGGCACCTATTTTTAGTGCCGGCTGATATCGTATAAGTGCCGGCGTTTTTTTTTGGGCGCTCGTTGCACATCGGGTTCGTGGGTCATTCGTTGCGCGCGTTGATCATCAGATACAGATACCTGTCCAGACAGCATTGCATGTTCCCGCCATGGGATTTTATAATATATATATATATATATATATATGTATAATGGCACTAGCGTTTTACATGCCAGGAGGGTGGGTGTTGTTGTAAATTTGTTTTTTGTGCACGATGTGTATTGTCGGCGTATGGCGTCAGCCTCGTGAATGTAGCGTTCGTGAAATTATCTTGCAAAGGCAATGGGCAACAGGGTCGATCAGAGCGCTCCAAAGGAAACGCGGCCACGATGCCTGGATCAGAGAGGATGGAGTGCCAGCTGCAGAAAATGAAATGGGATGGGCGGTCGGGAAAGGGAGGCGGGCATCGAACGCAAATTGCCAATAGGGCTGTCGGTCGCCATTGGCGGGCGATGTTCACGTTGTCGTCACCTCCTGTTTCTCCTCCTCTTCCTCCTTCTTCTCCTCTTCCTCCTCCGCCTTTTCCTCCTCCTCTCTCTTCTCCTCCTCCCCCGTTTTCTCTTCCTTATCATTCTTCCAGGTTTCTTTGTCCTCCCTCCTCCTCAGCCGTCCTCTCCCTCTCGTTCCTCGTCGATCCCCTTCCTCTTCACTCGTCCTCTCCCTCTCCCTCCTCTGCCTCTTGTTCCGTTTTCCTTCTCCTCCCCCCTCTTCCTTCTCCTCCTCGTTGTAAGCAGCATCCTCCTCCTCTTCCTCCTCCTCGTGGTCCTCCTCCTCCTCCTCCTCCTCCCCTATCCTTCGCTTTCTCCTACTCCTGCTCCTCCCTTTCTCCTTGTCCTCCTCCTCGTGTTTCCCCTTGTCCCCTTCCTCCTGCTTCTGCCCCTCCTCACCCCCTACTCAGTTTTCGAAGCTCGTCCCTTTATCCAATCATTGTTTCCAGCTCGTGTGTCAGCAACACAGTAACAGGAGCCCGCGCACGATCTATTGAAGGCGGCATGCAGTACATTCGCACGTCGCGATGCGGTAAGCCACAATATACATGGTTCGTTTTCGCCCCTCGCAGGTAGAGAAGCACATCGTTCTCTCACGGTTTCGCGCTCTGTGAATTCGGTAGCCTTGTCGAAACCAATCCCCTCAGTCGTAGGCACGCCCGTATCACCATTTCTCCTCTTACCCTCCCCATCAAAGTTTGATTCAGAGTCGATTGGGCATCTCTCGGACACCCCGTCGACGCAGGTTTCATTTCTCACGTCGGTTTGGTAATTTTCAACTGGAGGGGTCCGAGTGGGCATGTCTACAGCTGGGGGGATGGGTTTCGGAGCACTCGCACCTCGCGGCGGTGCCGAATGATACCATCGATCGCTCTTCGCGCGCCCCAAGAATTGAACATTCCCCAGGTTTCTGATGCGCACTGCCTCGTCTTGCGCGGCCTCCAAGAGGCCATCAGGGGAAGGGGGCATGAGGGGGATTATCCAGGCCCTTTCGGCCATTTCAGGATCAAAAAAGGCGTCGGATCCGCAGCGATTGTTGTTTCTTCCTCGAGGTCATCGTCGTCCTCCTCCTCCTCCTGCTCCTCCTCTTCGTCGCTCGAGGGCGAACCCATTGCTTCCGAGGGGCACGCCCGCAGCCAGCTGACGAGGATACGAGCGGAGATGAGGGCAGCAGTGAAGGAGGACACCGACGACGCCTGCGGGGATGGGCCCCTGGGGATAGTGAAAGGGAAATGAGAGAGAGGCGGGGAGGGGGGGGCAAAGGATGAGACGGATGAGGAGCAGCAGCAGCAGCAGCAGGAGGATGAGGAGCTCGGTAAGTAAAATGGTGAGGGGGAGGAGGAGGATGAGGAGGAGG